CAACTCCGGTGATCGTTTAACACTCTATTTATTGATAAATACTGTGTTTACTAGTAAATATTGTATTTATTAGCAAATATCATATTTATAAAAAAAAAAAGACACGGCTGGCGGCCCGACACCAACGATCGTTTACTGGTAAATATCATATTTACCAGTATATACGTATATGCTAATAAATATCATATTTATTTAAAAATCTGGACACCGACTTTGGTGACCGTTTAACATAGTATTTATCAGTAAATACCGTGTTTACTAATAAATATCATATTTAGCTAAAAATCCAACCCCGACATTTAGCACTGTATTTACCGGTAAATACCATATTTATCCAAAAATCCAGTCACTGATTCTGATGACCGTTTAACATTGTATTTATTAATAAATACGATATTTATTAATAAATACATTATTTATTAGTAAATACTAAATACCGTATTTAATAGTAAATATCATATTTATTTAAAAATTTAGATACCGACTTTGACAACTGATAAGTATATTTATCAATAAATATCGTATTTACTAATAAATAAAGTATTTATCATATCAAAAATTAAATTTAATGAAATATGTATTAATAAATATAACATTTATTAAATTTAAAATTAAATTCAGTGAAGTATTTACTTATCAGCGTCGGAAATACTGTATTATCAAATCTCAGTTTTTTTTTTTTATTCTCCAGACATAAACAAATCAAAAGAAAATTTTTTAAAACTGCCATTGAAAAAATTAGCGGTTCTGTGTTGTATTTTCTCAACGTGAAACAAATCATCTCATTGCACAAACGATCACGGTAGAACAAAGTAGTAATGGTTCTTGTTTGTGAAGGCCAAATCGAAACCTCAAAGCTCCAAGGCAGACAATGAATCTGGTTCGTGAAGGCCAGATCGGCGAGTTCCCCGACCGAATTTGCCACGGAGCTCGGCGATGGGGAACATCATCGATCTGCGACAGAGATCGCGATCTGCTACGGAGATTAGTGAGGGCATCGGCGTTGTCCTCCATCTGCGACCTCCGACTGTTGGCGACGAAGGCAGTCCCCCAGCAGTTCCCCGGCGACGCAATACACAGAGAACGAGGAGAATCAACGTTGCTTTGCTCCTTTGCGTTGCCGGAGATGATGGAGGTGTTCACCTGATCTGGGAGATCGCGTTGTCTGCGACTAGAAATCTGTTCGCGAATCGGAGAGAGAGGGGGTAAAAGAGATCGGCCGAGGAGCGAGAGAGAGAGATCGGAGTCGCTACCTGAGATCGGGACTAGAGATCGTGAGTGAAATCCACCACGGCGTGACAATCCCGATGTCTGGTGGCGCTAGGATGGAGATAGCATGAACATAGAGAGAGAAGTGACTGAATGAACAATGGCGGGGGGGGAGGAGGGAAGAGAGGAAAGGGGCGTAAAAAATCACTCCGAACCCGAGCCTATCCAACCCGGCCATATCCGAAAATATGGAGTTTTTTTTCTTTTTTCAGTTTATAATTAGCCTAACCCGCAATGGACAGGTACGGTCGCGGGTTCAGGCTCTAAAAGCCCCGTGTAACCTTATCCGGTCAAAACCCTCTGCATGTTAAAAAAAAATGAGAATGCGAGAACATTTGGTCTCTGTTAACCCGGAATACCACTCTTTCTCATAATTTACCCATGCAAAAGTAGCAATTAAGCAAAGAATCACCCAATTTGGAGTTGGTTTACCGGTAGAAAAGCAACAAATAAGACTGAAATAAGTAAATTTGGAGTTGGTTTGCCTGAAGTAACCCGGCCAACCCGAGGTAACCGAATGATATACAGGTTTTGGGATTAATTCACATGTTGCGCCCCAGTATTTTTTCAGGCCGATTATTGCGGGCCGGTCCAAACAAACCCAAAAATTGACCCTACCCAGCTGACTTTCACACCTAACTGGTGGGGTTGTGTAAGGATAAATTCAAAACAAAACCCTAAAAAAAGGTAAATTTAGAAAAGAACGTTTTGTTTCATTAAGGAGATTTAAAATATGCTATAATTTTACTAACGTTTAAAAATAAGCTATATGCTTCAAATGTTTATACAAAAATGTCATTTGCTGCATTTTCCCTGTATAAGGAGAAATATTGATCAAAGTTAATTGGAATGTAATAGCAATGTACCACATCAAACTTTAACTCAGACGGGTCTATTATGTCTCCTCCTCTTGAAAGTTCCTCTTCCTGAAAGTTCTTCCTCAAAGTTTTTGTTGTCATTCTTGTGGTCCACCTGTCCTGTTGCATGAGATGTGTATACCAAAGAAAAAAAAGAAAAAAACTTTAACAAATATGGATTATGTTGTCTAATAATGGCCGAAATTTGGGCATACTTGATTGATGACCCACACAGAAGATGAATGATCATTCCCCAAAGAATACAAAAGCGGGAGGCAAAAGAGCAAGCCTTGTCTGACAGATGGAACTATTATTGGTACCACCGACCCACACAGGTGACTTGAGGACCCCCTTTACAGGGAAAAGAGAGAGCATTTAGAGAACCAAAAAAAGCCAACGGTTTTTAAGACATGCCTCAATTATGATATTTCACACTCCAAAATATCAGACACACGACGTTTTCTCATTCTCCATTCTTTTCTTTTCTTCTCTTCTCTTTATTGACCAACTTTCCAGCTTAAATTGCGCCAAATTGCTTTTTTGGTCACACCCACAAGTGGGCCCCTCCTGCACTCTTTTCCCCTGTCCCATAAGATGATGAACCCAAATAATATTGGTCTTGTTCCTCCCTGCTCTGCTGTGAGCCAATTAGCATAAAGGCCATGTGGGAATGCAAGCGAAATTAGCTATGATACAACCCATCTCTTTGAAAGTGGAATTGAGATAAATAATAAAGTAATAAGAGGATAAAGATGGACATATTTTGATGTTCCTTTTGTTGTAATGATGTTTGGGATTTATTTTGATGAGTTTCCCTTCAAATTTACCTGGTCTTATATGTTTGATATGATCTAAGAGTCCCTTTTGGTTTAAGTCGTCTTAACAATACTAATTATGATTACATTTGGCCTCACATGATTTGACCTACTCGAGTAATACTATTTTTTCCTTCTTCTCTTCTCCAGATAGCATGCAAAATTAAATACCCTACCACCTCCAATTGAAGACTCTTATCAGTCCATATGTCGTGCGGCGTGACGTTGGTCATGTGTAGTGACATGAGTAAATATTAAGCTTATCATTCAAATAGAATTGAGTTAGATATTTTCCGGTTTTATTGATAGATTGTAACATTTTCAAAATGTCAAAAGAGAATAATGACATCAATGATCTTTTTCCTTTGGGAAAAAAAAAAAAAAAAAAAAAAAAAAAAAAACTTAAAATTTTACTATCTAATATCCAGCATTTATCAGTCTTGTTTGAAATGACATGTCGCTTGGCCTAAATAACTAGGTTCATGTTTTGCCAACATTAAATTATGCGTGAATGAACCATCTTTCTCTCGAAATTAATTTTGTATAAATCCAATGTCTAAAGTTTTGGTTAGTACTAACTTTTATCGAATCACAAGAAACAAGACACGTTAATATGAGACGTGTATCGTATTGCAAACCAAACAACGCAATGTCTTACAGACGCACGTACTCTGAGCTAATGTAATAGTTCCAAAATTGGTCCATCATGTCACGTGGGTGCACGTTCATACTAGTTGTTCCAATATATCTCCTCTAATCGCAATTAACAAACAAAGTCGGTGACACAAGTCGGTCACAATTAACGAAACCTGTATATATATATATATATTATATATATATATATATATAATTTAAATCTCTCTACTAGAAAAGAAAATGCACGTGACGTGAGAGTTCGTGTTGATTGTTAAACATGATCCTTTCCTTCTCAATGAAATACGAATGCCTTGTTTTGCATGTAAATGGAAGTAAAGACAAGATAAGTGTTCACACCACAATGGGTTAACACAGACAAGAAGCATTAACTCAAACCAATATAACCACAACCATCACAACAAACATCACGTGCTCTGCCATAACCACTACCTTTGGTTTTGTTTTTTTTTTTTTTTTTTGGGGTAATCTACTTCTGGTCAAATTTAGTCAAACGTATTTCATGTGAAAAAATATACACACTCCGTGGAAATGTTTGGTTTATAGATTAGAATCATAAAATTAGAATTATTTTTAATTTACGTGTATTTTTTGTGAGAAAAAATACTATAGCGAACTATGAACCATGATTCGAATCAGAGTACGAATCCCTCAACTAAACAACCCCTTAATGTTCATGTTTTATGAAATCGCATATAAATGCAGGAACCATTTGGTCTTACGTTTTGAGTATCTGAAACACTTTGTTAAAATGCATCACTACACTTTCGTTACTTTTTAGACAAATTTTACGGTAGGAATATTGTTTTTATTATTAGATTAATTTTTTTAAAAAGTCTATTTGTAAGTGTTTACATTAAAAATTTATAGCGCGTAATATAAAACTGTGAGGTGTAACACAAAACTGCTCCTCACAAATAAGACCGTTAAAGATTACCCAACTAAAACATAGTTCTTACTTCTTATTGATAAGATAAAATAGCAGTTCCTACCTTAAAAGTTCCCAACTTTATAATGGTTTCCCATTTACCACTGTGCTATTTGGATCAACGATTTCACTTGGTAATGCTTTCTATCTTCTATTTTGTGGTAGGGAAGTTTGAAACTGCAGCTACCAACAAGAGCTTGTGGCAACAATACTATGGGTTGTGGTTGAAGAAATATTGTAACCGAGTATTGAAATGTATTTACCAGTGTCCTTGCTGAGTTGCGATATAAATTAATTAAATCATATAAACAAATGAACATTTAATTCATGAATTCAAAATCATAATTCAGAATTATGATTCAGAACTATTTTGATTTACGTGTTTTTTGTGAGAAAATTTTATAACGAACCACAAATCATAATTCAAATCATGACACGAATACACCAACTAAACGCAAGAGATTGGAGCAGGAGAGCAAATTAAAAAAAAATCATAACCCAGATTCCATTGCCACTAGAATACAAATCATGTGTCCACTCCAACATAGGAGACTGGTACAAAATGTCCACTTAATTTTAAGTTTCAAACAAGAAGCTCGTATTGTTTCCAGCAGCAGCAAAACCCCCATCTTTAATTCCCTCTATGCACCATTCATTGCACCATCAACATGAACTGTGTTTCCATCTTCCAGATTCTTGCCATTGACTTGAGTTCTCTGCCTCTGCACAAACAAAAGCAGAAAAAAATGTTTAGTTACATCAATGCAGAAAAAGGTTTTCCGCATCAGTGAACGATCCAACTTACCCAATCAGCAGGGTCTCCTGAGTTCCCATTCAAGAGTTTGTGAGTCTCTTCTTTGGTCCTTCCATCCTTCTCTTTGTTAGTCACCGGTAGCAAGAGAGACCCAATTCCATTGCTCCGATCAGGTAACTCTACGGGAAACATGTAATAGTCAGCACGGCTGCTCGATAATGGCTAACGCTTCAAAACAATAATAACAATAATAAAACACAAACAAAACATCCTCACCTGCAAACTTCTTGTCAATAAAGAATACCACAAAATTGACGGTATACCTGCAGGAAATCATATTGTATAAATGAATAAGCAATCAGGGGCGAGAAACAAAAGAAGGGCAAAGACGCTCATTATCTTCATTTTCTTTTCATTTTCCTTGCAGGTGACCCTGCTGATTGCAGCTGAGGAAGAGAAACATATAAATAAATAGAAAAGATCCTTCTGCAAATATAAATGTTTTGACCAAAGACATCGGCCATACCAAGCGACAACAACATCAACGGTGTAATGCTTGCGCGATGCCACAATCAAGAAACTCTGGATGATGGCAAGCAACCAAGAAAGCTGCTTTATACTCCTGCAATCAAGTAGAATTCAAGATCCATTAGCAAAAAAAAAAAAAAAAAACAAAAGAGTAGAATTCAATATCAGACAGAAGAAGCTCCATCTAGTGAGGTTATATTCAGTTAGATAGCAGTTTTGGAATAGGCATTGATCATACCGTGCCAGATGAAAACCAAATGCAATACCTGCGAGTGCCGTACTTCTGGTACGTGCGCACAAAGACAAGAGTAAAGATCATGTGTGATGAAAAAATCAAATCACCACAACCATATATAACGCCACGAGGAACTGCACAAGTGAGAATAAAAAATAAGCACAAAATGTAGTAAACCAGGCAAAAAAGCTAAAAAAGCTGGAATAAACAAAAGATCACTCACAGTTTATCAAGAGGACCTCAAGAACACTCTTTGGAGGAGGCAGCCTGGCAAGCTTTGAACCCTGTACGGCAGAACACATTCTTAGCTTTATATTATTCTTTTGTTCCTAAATCTCATAAAGAGTCAAAACAATTTTCTCAATTATCAAAAGAATAAAATAAAAAGAAAACAACATTCCACCTCGCAAGATTATAATATTATATATAAAAAATATACCTCACGGCAATGGTAATTTGGACCAGGAAGCTGGGTAGAATAGAATGTGATTATCCGGAGGAACTGAGAAGCCTGTGGCAGAAAAATAAAGACACTGAGAGAAAATTTTGAGGATTGATTCTGCTAAATAATGATAATGTTTATTGAAAGAAACATCCGGAGAGCTCAATAGTTTTCATGAACTAAAATACCCATTCAAAACAAACAAAACATAAAAAACTTGACCCAGCAGAGGAAGGAATGAACAAGATATATATATATATATATATAGATGTATACATATTTACATATATATGTATATATATGCACACATATATAAATATATATATATATATATATGTAAGCATAGCGGGATATTCCGCTCTAATATGAATATGCTTCCCTGAAGAATTAGGTGTCAAAATAATTCCAGTCATAAAAAAGAGAAGTTAAAAACTAAACTGGCATTTTCTAATTTCTAATTGAGACACAACTTCACACATTTTCCCACTAATCATACTTCCCAATCTTACCAATTCTCTCTTCAACCATCCTAATATAAGCCCAAATGACAGATTACTAAACTAAAGAAATAAAAATAATAATAATAATCCAGAACATAATATAATGGTTAAAAATAATTGATAGTCATCACTTACAACTAAAAATGCCAGAACCCTGCACCATACTATAACTGTGTAGATCTTCTTACTCTTGAAAATGAAAGGATGGAAAGTCCACTGCAACAAACATGCTTCAAATAAGCCAAACGATTAACTAAAGTGTAAAGTTTTATAATGGCACTCTCAAATGACATGGGATTATCAAAATTCATGAAAAAGAGTAGCTTAAGTACAAAATACTATGGAGTGGTGATAACAGATAAATAGAGAAAATGAAACCAAAAGTAAAATTAACGAAAACAAGAGAATAAACCTTACCAAGAAAAAAGATACAAAGATAAAGGTGAACAAGGTCTCACTGATATAAGCTTTGTCTTGCCCAAGCTCCTATTATGGCTCAAAAATTAAAGGTAAGAAGGCATTGTCATATTTATAAGATCAACGAGCAGTGAGCACTCGAGAAAAACTACTCAGAACGAAAGACAAAGCAAAAGGATAACAAATTGATACATACCGGAAGAAGCATGAAGCCAACGTCCTGGAGTGTTGGACCCGGTCGATGTATGTAATGAACTCCTCGAGCAGCCAAACCATGTATATACTGTGGGTGAAGAAAGATCAACGTTTAACTTTAAGACTTGCAAGACATTTTAGCAACAGGCAAAGTAAGATGATAGAACATTATACACAAACCCTTTAAAAGACAAAATAAATATTAATGTACAAAATGCAAGGCATTTTTAATAATAAACAGATAAAGTTACAACCATGCCGTGACATATCATAAAAACTAAGCGAACACTGGACTGGAAGCAATGAATTGCTGGAACCAATTCAAATAAGAAAAAGATGGGAAAACCTATGAAATGTCAAATCAATCAACATTTTATCAGATTCCAAGTCGGAAGGTAAATTAAAAATGGGAATCTAGAATGTGCAAGAACAATCATTTGGGACAAAATCTTCTCTCAACAAACGTGAAAGTAACCTTTTACCAGTTCATACTTTAAAATTTTCTAGATGAAAAAAAAAAGCCTACAATTTATATATATATGTATGTATATAACTGACCGGGCCTGCACATCATGTAATCCCTCATCAAACACAAACCCAAAACTTAAAACAAAAATGTTAAGTGTAACAACTGTCCAACCACAACTCAAATCATTTCTTTTTTTCTTTTTTTTCTGATCCAAATCTCACAAACAAGACTTTCCAACTTCTTAACAAACAAAACTTTCCCAAAAGAAAAACAATAAAAATAGATGAAAATATTTCTTGAGCGATGCATCAAAATGGGAAACCTGACAAACAACTCCCGCTAACAGATATTTCCAATTCTCGGCAAGAAGATTGAGCTCTGTGGTTGTCTCTGCGCAAATTCGCTTCCATAGCTTCACACCAAAACAAATAATAAATAAATAAATAAAAGAACAAAAACCCAAATCATCATAAGCACAAAAAAGCAGGAAAAAGAAGATCTTTATTCCTAGCCATCAATGCAAAGATAGTTATAAGACAAACCCAAAAAGGAAACCAGAAAAAAAAAAAAAAAGGTACAAACCTTTGACGACTCGCGACCAATGTAAAACGTCATCTTATTCTTGTTCTTCTTCTCTTCTATGTGTAACCACCACTTCCATATTACTTCACAACCAAACTCTTTTCAAGGTCAACATCGCTCATCACACAAATTTGCCCACTCAAAAATATTTTCCACCAATTAAAAAAAGACTAAAAAACTTAACAATCTCTTCGACCCAGAAAATAATTAAAACCGGAGATCTGATCAAAGCCCACCAAGCGATTTTAAAGACGAAACCGAGAAAAGGGTCTTGGATGTACAAAACAAGAAGAGGGTTGGGTTTGTTTTGAAAAATCAAAAAACAAAAAACGAAAATGAAAAAAAAGGGTTTTTTTTTTGTGATTTGTTTTTCTTTTTCTTAATATTCTGTTCTTTCTGGGCTTTTGGGTATTATTTTTATGTATGTGTACGCGAGTTCAACACGGAGAATAGAATTGAAGTAAGATGAATGGAATTTGTAAAAGAAAGAGGGGAAATTGGCTTTTATTAGCAGACGACGAAATGAGAAAGATCGCCGCTACTACTGTTTTGTTGTGCCAACGCGAGGCTTACGCGAACGAACCAACCCCTTTTTCCTTTTCCTTATTTTTTTTAATTTCAAATATGCCTTAATTTGAATCTGACGACACTATTGCCAGGAAAGTGAGTGTGACAGCAAGACAATGAGAGGGACTTAGAAATATAAAATAAGATTTTCTTAAGATAGGAAAAAGAAATATCAAAATTAAATAAATTAATAAAATTTTGGGGGAGAAGCAAAATATTCTCTTTTCTCCTGTGTTTATTTTTTTGAATTAATCTAATAAATTCCCCTCAAATTAAATTTTTTTCCCCTCTCAACAAGCTCTCGATTAGTGTTGCACTTCTGAGTATAATAATATTTTAGTCTCTGTACATTTAATTTGGACATATTAGATGCTGCACTTTTTTTTTGAAAGTTTTAGTCCCTATAACTTAAAATTTTAGGAAAAAAACTTATGTATATGCAAATTTTCTCCTTTTTACTATTAAAACTTATTGTAATTATTTATGTAAAGTTTTTAATTGTTATATAATAAAGATGTGACTATCTATATTTAATTTTAAAAATTATTCATTGATTTTAGTGCCAAGAACTAAAGCAGTCAAAAATTAAAAATTTAAAGACTAATATGTTAAAACTAAAAATTTAGAGACCAAAATGTCATTATCCTCAAAGTTTATGGACTAAGGGAGCCAATAATTTTTTTATAAAATTGTTTAAAATAATTCATAATTAGTATAATTTTATAAGTATTTATTAAATTATTAATTTTATGTCAATTTATCCTCTAATATTTTTTTTTTTAAAAATGGGCAATTTGCTTAAAAATAATCACCCCCTTTTTATAGAGTTGTCAAACGTGCCGTACTGGGCCGGCACGACACACTTGACCCCAGGCCCATCACGGGCCTGGGCCGTGCCTGGGCCGGGCCTGAGAAGAAAAACTCAGGCCCTGGCCCTAGTCCATAAGGGCCAAGGCCGGGCCTAGGCCCAGGCCCTTCACGGGCCGGCCCCGGCTCTTGTTTTTTTTTAATTTAATTAAAAAAAATATCAAATGCCCCAAAAGAGGTGATTTTATTGAATTGACGTAATAGGAGTACACGTAAATGACTGCCTCGTTAAAAACCTTGCTAAGTAAAACCCATGGGGAGATCGGGACAAAACCTTAGCGAAGGAAAAAAGAGTGCAGTAGCTAGGAATAGTAAATTACAAACCTAAGTGCTTCCAGAAGATTCTGTTATTTCTAAGTTAGAAAAATATTCTTGCATCGAATCATCTGTGTATTGTTGTTTTCGTCTTCTGGCATCTTCCCAGTCTTTAACTCACATTAGTCCCTCCAAGATATCTGGATGCATTCTGCTTCTCTTCTCGTCAAGAATTCGGTTGCTTGCGCTAAAAGCTTGCTCCGATGCTACCGTTGACACTGGAGTTGTCAGAATGTCACGAGCTATTATGGACAGTGTTGGAAAATGATCTATCTTGCTCTTCCACCACTGTAAGATGTCTAGTTTGTCGTCATCGATTACAAAATTTGCTTCAAAATATTTGGCTAGTTCCATAGACGCTTGTGTTGAGGACGATCCTGCAGTTTTCTCTTTCTTCTTCTCCACGACGATCCTTTAGGCCCCGAATTGGTAGTTGACAACGAAGTTCCCTGTTCTTTTTTACCCGTGCTATATTTTGCTTCATACAAACTAAAAACTTTTTCTAACATTTTCTTAGTGTCAATAATACTTAGTTGCATATCTATTTTTAAATTCTCTGCAATAGCAGTCATCAATGATTCAGTTCCATCTACTCCGCACCTAGGATCTAAAATGGTTGCCAATGCATATAACATAGGACAACCTGACCAATAACTTTTAAATTTATTTTCCATTAAGTTAACTATATTCCCAAAAAGTTGTGTAGCCCTATAATAAGAAAATGTTTCTGAAATATTAAATAGTTGATGTAAAGCTAAATGTGCAGTAGGATAATAAACTCCAGAAAGTAATTCAGTAGCATTGTAAAAAACTTCTAAAAATTTAAAAAAAAATACTCA